TCTCTCTGGGTTTGTCTGATGCTTTGTGCTCAGTTGACACCACGTTGCATTGGGAAGGCTGCCTCAGCGGCCACGGCCCCTGCTGACGCGCGGATCAGGGCTGCCTGCTGCAGGTGTGCGTTATTGGCGGCGTGAGTCCTGAGTCCGTGGTTAAGGAGGTGTCTGCCCGGCACAGCGCCCCCCAGTGCCTGTTTTCCCTTTGTAATCAGTAAGTGTTTGGGGCAAACATTTTGAGACTATGCAGATACTGCTTTTGCTCTTAATTAATTTTGGTACCCAGGAGTGGAACTTGCTTACAGCAATTATTACTGCACTATTCTAATGGTAGTTTGCTGTTTTCCTGATTTCTTCTACATTTATTATTAGAACTCTGCTAGGAAAAGTCCCTTCTGCCCCATTTGTTTTTTCCCCCCAGCTAGCTATTTATATCAGTTTGGGTTCATGGATCAGTATTTTAATTACAATCCAGTACCATCGTTATTTTGCAGTTCAGTTGGTTTCCATTTTGGCTATTTGAAGCTCTTTCAGGTTGGCTCCTGTATATTTTTTATATGTTGCTCAGTTTCCTTCCCTGCTCCCTCCCGGACCCCCCTCTCCTTCCCTGCCCCCACAGGATGCCCCCGGCGCCTCTTGTATTCTCCCTGCCCCCTTTTTTTGGATAGTGGTATTTAAAGATTTGTTGACCTGTATCAAATTTACCAACTGCAGTACAGGGTTGTGTACACTTTTTAGCCTTTTAATGTGATGTCGAAACACTTTTCCAAAGTTATTTAGGTATTAAGATGAAAAGTTACGTTAGTTCCTTTCTTCCCCAGTTTCTTCAGTGTGATTATGCAGTTCATTTGGGATAGAGTTAGGTTCATCTGTTAACAGTCTGCATTTTGTCCTCCTCCACACATCCTGGTTGATTTTTAAATTTACATATATTAAAATTGCCTTTGTGGTGGGTGTTAACAAATACAGAGTTGTGTATCTGCTACCATACAGAACAGTTCAGTGCCCCCAAATTCCCTCGTGTTGGCCCTTTGTAGATAATCCCCACCCTGTCCATTCAGTCTTCCCTTTTCCGGGGTCATGTAGAATTTCACAGCACATAGTGTTTCCCTTAGCAAGAGGTGCTTCATTCCTGTTTATTGCCAAGTAGTATTCCACTGTATAAATGTACCACAGTTCGTTCATTTACCCATTGGAAGACACTTGGGTTATTTCCAGTTTGGAGTAATTATGAACTTTATAAACACTTTGTGTAGATTTTTGTATGAACATTAGTTTTCATTCTCAAGATAACATACACCTTGGTGTGAGATTGCTAGGTATGTAATAGAGAATTCGGTTGGCCTCTGTCCCTGGTCCTTGGGACATAGCCTCTTAGCTTAGCACTTCCTGAGTGAAAGGAGCGTCTTATTTGTGGTGGGTCCTGACAGCTTCTGCTAGTGAGATGGCTCAGGATGGTGGCTAGCCACCGGCTAGCCATGCGGGAAAGATTCGGGCTGAGTCATGTGATACCTGCCTGAACAGTCAGGACTCGGCACACTGAAGCTCCGAAGTGCGCCATCCCTGGGTGGCAGTGCTCCGTGTCATTGCGCACTGACGTACTGATCATGGACGGGGGGTCACGTTGGGACTTGCCTAGACCTCGCCCAATGTGTCTTTCCTTTTCCCTGGTTCTGATTTGTATCTTTATAAAACAAGTTGTAAGCAACACATTTTCCCAAGTTCTATGAACTGTTGAAATGAATTATCAAACGTAAGGAGTGATGGTGGGAACTCCCATATTTGCAGCCAACTGGTCAAAAGCAGGGGTGGCCTGGGACCTCCATGCCTGGCATCTGAAGTGAGAGCTGTCTTGTGGGGGGCTTTGCCTTTAGCCTGTGATGTCTGTCCTGACTCCGGATAGTTAGTGTCCAGGTCATTGCACAGAGCCTGGTGATAAGTTTGTGCTGAACTTTGTGAGGCAAAGCCCTACCGGGCTTTCCCAGAGGCAGCGCTGCCGTTGCGCAGGCCCAAGCAAAATGATGAGGAAGGGTGCCAGTTGCATCTCACACTAGGTCCTGTCAGTATTTTTAATTTTGGTTATTCTCATGAGGGTGTAGGGATACATGTTTTGCTGATGATTTTTGCATTCATGATAGATAATTGGTACAGATCTGATCAGATTACTAGGGAGAAGGGGAGGGGCTGTAGGAGGAGGCAGTGGTGAACAATCTAAGGCGGGATTGGCTGAGATGAATGCCTCCAGAGTACAAGGAATTGTGGGTAGAAAATTTGAAATAAAAGAAGGGCTCTTGGTCTCACCCGCTCTTTGTCTCTCTTCCTTGAGGATTCCTGGTTGTGCTGCAGCTGCCTGCATTTCCCAATGGCTGGTATGTTAAATGGGAAGGAACTAGGGTTGAAGCTAAGGGTTGGGCTGGCCTGGCAGAGGGGGGCTGGGCTCTTCTCCTTTGGGCATTCTAGAGGGGACGAGTTTCGCCGCAGAAGTCTGTCATTCCAGAATTGTGTAGCTTTTGTATCTTAGGTGGTTTTAGTCTGTAAGCTAACCCTAAGGAAATAACAAACTAACAAGGGGGAGATGCTAGAAGAACTCAGGTGTTAGAGTTTAGCCTCAATTGACACACTTAAGTGATTAAAGCTGTAACTAAAGAGTTCGAGTTTAGCCTTAACTGGTAGGCTTAAAGTGGATACGTGAGTAGAAAGCTGTTATTCCAAAATTGTAAAGTTTTTGGATAAAGATTCTTTTCCTTTATCACCAAACCTTTGCCTCTGAAACTTTGCCTGGAGGGTGTCGGGGCAGCAGGACCCCACTTGCTGTTGGTAACAGTGTTACTGGCCTGTAGTAGTTGTTTGCATTTAACATGATGTAACATGTCAGTAATGCTGATCTGATAAAGTGAATCTTCTTTTCTGGAAGAGAATGCATAGAATTGGTGTTATTCCTTATATGTTCGGTAGAATTTACCGGTGAAACCGTTGGGAAGGCGGTTTTGGGTTTTTTTCTTAGGCATGTGTTTTTGGTAACTATCCTGCTTGGTGTTCTCTGAGCTTCTTGGATCGTATGTGTAGGGTAAGTGGAGGCAGTCTGGCTTCCTCACCCAGGCGTCTGGGTGGCTAAGGGAAGCAGTGTTCCCATGTCCTTGTAGGACCTGATAAACTAGTGTTCTCACAGCCTTAAGACTGGGTCCAATAAACTGTTCCCATAACATGAAGTGGGCTCGCATGTGCAGAATTATGCTACGTTATGTAACGTTCTGGCACTTTTCCCACTTCGTTCCTCTAGTACTTAAACAGGTAGGGACTCCCTGCTGCGGGCAGTGATGGTCTAAAGACACACACAGGGGGACAGGTGCCACATGGCTGCCATGCTGGGGAGCAGGGGCCACGACATGAGACATGCAGCTTGCAGTGTGTGTGGCTTGCCCACCCGTGACTGAGGCGTGCCAGGCAGCCCAGTGGCTCCATGAATGCTTTTCCGTTGCATGCATACCATGAACCTGCCTGGAGGCTGGAACACAGTATGTTAAATTGACATTTTCTGGCTTTGTTTTTCCTTCACTTTTTTCCTTGTGTTTATTAGGATTTTTTATTGGCTTTTAAGTTTACTAATTTTCTCAGCAACGTAGTCTATTGATTATTCTCTTCCATAAGATTATTCCTAGGCCAAGCAAAAGTAGGTTCTCTAAAGCATGATAGAACAGTGTTCTTCAATAAGGTCTATTAGGGTGTCAGGGGCAAACTTGTATTCAAAAAAGGAACTGAACAGATAAACACCTTAGCAGCCCAGGTAGTTGTCTCTGATAATTTGGGTGAATTTCTGTTAAATTTCAGTGATTTCACTATACTTCATGTGGTTCTCTTACATCCTGCGATGAGCTGCTGCTTCAGAGTTGTTCCTTTTGAACTAAGTAATCGTATTTTAGGGGGATGTTTTCCAGAATGCTTATGAAAATACTTTTTGGACACATGGACAGTAACGGGGTGGGTGGTGGAAACGGGAGGGAGGTGGGGAGGGCTGGGCAGAAAAGGCAGAAAACTGTACTTGAACAATTAAAATGAAAAAAACACTCCTTTCATTCTCTGCTTTAGCAAACCCCTTTGATTCTTTGAGACCTTTGTGTTTTTTTCCCCCTCAATTCTTGGCTTCTTTCAGCTCCATATAAGATCCTACTAAGTGCTGAATGAATGTAGGGAATTAGGAGTTGAAAGATTTTCTAGGACTTAATGGATGGGGAGAAGAGTAACACGTGTGAGCAAGCACAAGGCCCATGGGCTGAACCCGGCCTCCACCTTGTTTTATCCGGCCCTGCTCCTTGTTTCTGCCTGGCGGCAGCACCAAGCTCCTTGCCCCTAGTTAAGGAGTAGTTACATTGATACAGTCCTAAAATTATATTCAGCTGATGTAGCCCCGGTGAAAATGAGTTTGACACCACTGGCAGTAACATTGCAGTGCTTAACTAGGGTTTTTTTGTTGTTTTTTTCACGTTTAATTCCATGCCCTTAGACACAGGTGTCTTGCTTTATTAGCTTCCCGTTCATCCCTGACCTCTTTGTGTCTCTATCTCCTGTTACTCTCTTAACAGCAAACCTCCAGATAGAAGTCTGAGGTTTGAGTAATTCACCTGATTATTCCCTTTCTGTTCAATTTGAAACTAAAAGGGGAAATACTGAAGTGAAAGGAAAAAACTTTGGTTGGATGCAGTTTGATGACTGAAGTAGTTGGGAGATCTGAGGAACCGACACGTAGCCTTTGGCAAGTCCTATTCCTAATCCAGTTTAGGACAGGATTAGGAATAGTCCTCCACCTCCCTCTCCTGTCCCACGCACCCCTGTGTAAATTTACAGGAAGAACGTGGTGGTTTCTGGGGAGGACCTAATAGTTACAGCAGCGCTTAACAGATTTTTGAAAGTGTTCCTACTTTAAGAAAACTACCACCTCAGGATTTTATATTCGGTTCTAAGGGAATCAAAAGGACAAATGACTAGTGGCTTTAAATTGTTGGGTTTATTAAGATAGTGGCAAAATTTCAACATACTTCTTACCTGAATGAACAGTTTTAATAAAATACAAAGGATTCTTCATGAACTCAAGAGTGAGATGTAGAGCAGGTTCATAAACTGATAAATTTACTGGGCAAGGAATGATTGACTTCATTCGCTTCACTCTGTAGAGAATGCTTTGCAGAGAAAGGTCATGAACAAGAGAACACGGCCTGTCCTTCACCGAAGAGCACCTGTAGCAAGTTACCAGCAGTGTATCTGGGGTGACCTAACGCATCAGAGTTCATCAGAGTAGTTCCTTTTCCAGAACAAGTGCTGTGTCAGTCTGGAGAGCCTATCTCACGTCATATTTCCTAATTAGTACAATAAACAATCCTCAAAATAGGAGATAAAATGCTGCTAGAAGAAGTAACAGTTATTTTTGCACACAGTACCATTTGTCTGGAAAACAGTCGTGTTATAATACTGGCGATATCTTATTTTGAAAAAACCATCCAAGCTGCTCACAGGTGAGAAGAGGTGGGGTCTATCACCTTTTATGGCCATAAGTCAGAATGACCACTGAGTGACGAAATTATGCCTAAACATCAAAATGCTGTTTTATGTTTTAGATCACTTTCTTACAGAGCCTTGACCAGCCTTTGGTGGGGAAGGAAGTATTGAACCACAGCAGTTTTATCTGTAAACACCGATCTTTCTGCATCATTTTCATCTGCCTGTTGGAAATGGCACTTCTTACTGGCACAGTGTTCCAACAATGGAGGGTGGTTGTCATGGAGATGCAATGTGACACTGTACCACCACACAGACATTGTACCACTATAAATGTGGTCAGAACCAAACTCAGTGTTGACACTAACATTGTTGATATTGTCCCTGGAAAAGGGGTTTACTTTCAAGGATCCTCTTAAATGAAATGCAACAGTAATTTTAATTTTATTAATTCCAGGATAGTGGATGGTACTTCTCTGGAAAGAAAAGATACCCACACGTGTGTTTCTCCATCCTCTTCAGTACAGACCTAACGGGGATGGGGCGTTCGGTGCAGTACTGCTGCTCAACCTCAGGTCTCCCTGCACAGTATCACAGTACCCCTCCGGGAAGTGAGCAGGTTAGGGCGGGTTCCCTTTGAGACTCCCAGTGAGTGTACGAGGAGTTGTGATTACTTTACTTGGTGACTTAAATTGTGTTTCCCTAACCAACACTATACTTTCTTGTTTGTATTTGTTTTACTATTTCCTATTCTAACAAAACTTTAGCAGGCAAACAGGTTGATGCAGATCATTTTAAATTCAAAAAGGGATACTGCCACTTTTAAAAGACTGAGTGTAGAACTTTCACCACCACTAAATTACACAGTGAGTAAAAGTACAAAACACATAATTCACAGACTATACCTCAGCATTAACAGTTAATATATATTATATAGATACTTTTATATCTATCTAATATTTTTACAATCACCAGATACACCATCATTAAGTACAAGTTACAGAAATGTGTAGAAACCATTAGAGGGTACTTATTGCTTACATCAGCAAGCAGCAAATAAGGGCACAGGACTTGAATTGAAGGGAACTACTTTCTATCACCAGTGGCATTAAGATATAACACTGCATTTCACAAAGCACTGCTTTTATCTAGTTTATAGAACCAAGAGCAGCATATATCAGACCAATAACCACTACTTTAATATGTATTCTAGAGTTTTAAAGGAATTACCTTACAAATGGTACCTATTAAATATGCATGTTGTGGACAAATGAAAATTGGCTATTTTTTACAATGTCATGTTACAACTTGGTCAGACTAGTACTACTTTGCTTTATTTTCTAGAGGGCTACTGGTATGAGAATGGAGTTCACACTGCTTACATAGTCAGACCTACAAGATGCAGACCCTTGAAGATGTGGTCTGTGTTCATCCCAATTCCATCCAACCATTTCTCCCAACTGAAGAAAAAAATCATTTGTACCTTCTTTCCTTTCACTTTTTTTATTCTGATAAAAAACATTAGCTATAGATAACTGGAAAATCTTTAAAATATTTTTTTAACTTAGCTAAATGCTTTGGACTGTAATATACCAGTATTCTGTCCCTGTTTTCTTGTTTCCTTATTGGATAATTTTATTTGACATTGACACTGCACCTGATGGTTATTAACAAGATCTGGACTTGAGAAAATGAAAGGTGTGAGCGCGGTCCGTGTGGGTGAAGCATCGGGCTGGGGCAACGACTCTGTCCTACAGTCGGGGCCACGTTCACTCCTTCTCAGCCTGTGTCACAGGCTTTGAGAAAACAAACACTGAAAATCTCTACTTGGATCCAAATTTTAAAAATAAAATCTGTAGATTAATGATCTGGTCATTGGTAAAGTGAAACCTTTTACCCAAAGAATGCTACAGTCCTGTTTTTGAAATCCAGGAATTTTAGTCCTACTTTGGGGATCTGGGGACAAAGTATTTGTATTGTTATGTGAAAACACGTTAGGCAGCAGGTGCACCCCGTCCAGTGCCGTGGCTGGTCTGTGGTTGACCAGGAAGGGTAAAAAAAATGTCACGTGGAGACATTCATGGACCTCAGAATCAGAGACTGCTTCACTAAATGAACCTATTAGTTTATTTGCTGTATTTAATTGAAGATATGCCTCTAACTTGAAACTGCAAAAATGGCAGAAATAATTTTAACATATCAAGTACAAATAAATATAGAGATGAAAAACCCATGTCCTGTCTCTGCGGGCTGAAGTTGCATGTCTGTTTCCAGCTAAGCAGACCTCAGTCTCAGTCAGCTGTAGTCTCCCTTGGACTTGGCCTCAGCCTCTGGGCCCACTTTAAGCGAGTGCTTTCAGCCTGTTTCACACCAATTCATTCCCTTGTGGGAAACAGTTTTAGATAAGTTGAAACTAGTTACTTTTCACTTTCCAAAGCCACTTACTTTACAGTGGTTTGCAAAAGGGGGCACAAAACCAGACTTATCTTCTGGAGGATGGGCCCCTTGTAGTATGGGCTTCCCCCGCTAGGTGAGTGTTCCAGGAACCCATCTGTATCCATGCACTAGCTGGCCTTGTGAGAAGCTGCATTCAGCTTCAGTGAATTTTTTCGAAGACTCAGTGCACTTACCTATTTCATGATGGGTGACATGAGCACACCTGGCCACACCGGGCTGTGTGTTCAGCAGTTTTTGACCAAAAATGGCCTAACCGTTGTGCTCCACCCTCCCTATTCACCCAGTTTGCCCCTAGCACCTGTTCATTTCCCCAGATAAAAAGGTCCTCAAACGGAAACATTTTGCCAGCAGAAGTACTAAAAGGCATCAAAATCAACAAGTTCTGAATCTTTTCTGAGCAGTGGAAAAAGTCTTGATAGGTGTTATTGATCAAATGAAGAAGTATTTTGAAGGTGACTGAAGTTTAAACATAATAGAGAAATCTGGTCAGGATGGAGGTGTAGATAAACACAGCTTGCCTCCTCACAACCAAAATTACAACTAAACTAGAACAGTCATCACTCATACCCAACAGAAATCAAATTGAGTGGAAGTCTGACAACTATGGAATTAAACAAACCACATTCATCCAGACTGGTAGGAGGTGTACGGACATGGAACGGGCTGGTCCCTAAACCATGTGTGGTGGATAAAAATTTGGGAGGGATATCCTGTGAGGGGTCCCAGCCCCACACCAGTACCCCAGCCCACGGTTCCAGTGCCAGGAAGGTAAGTCCCCATAAGTTCTGGCTGTAAAAACCAGTGGGGATTGAGCCTATGGAAGAAACTGCTAGATTCCTAAGCAGTTCCTCTTAAAGAACCCACACACAGACTTAAGACTCCCTCTGGGCTTCAGCACCAGGGAAGCAGCTTGAAAGGCACCAGTGGCATGTGGGGAGGAACTAAAGTGTCTGGCCTCGGGATGAGATCTGGGGGACTGCTGTTTCCAGAGAGAACAGTGGGCAGAGAGCATTGTTCCTTTCCTGAACCCTCATCCCACAGAACCACAAAGCTGGTTGGCAGGAATATGTGAGACTCCATCAACCTGGTTAACAATGTTTGCCCTGCCTGGTGCTTCCCTGAGGCTCTGTCCCACCCAGTTCTGTTAACAGTGGCTTTTCCATATGAATGGCTGGTCTTGGCTCATCCTTCACATCCTTTTAAATCCATTCACAAGAGCAACAGCCAGCCTCAGTGAGCCCCTGTCCCTGTACCTCTTGCTAAGTGGCCATAGGCCCCACACTAGCAGCAAGCAGCCAGTCAAGTTTCACAGCTTGGCTTTACCTGGGAACTTCCAAGCCCAGCACAAAGAGCAGCCATCTGCAGATTGCTTTATAGTTAATGGTGGGTGGCCCCGGGCAGAACATAACTGGGGGCTGACTTTGGCCTGCACCACTGGGGAACCGCAAAGCCTGTGCACCCAGTGGGCAGCTACAGACCACACTGGAGCACCACCACCCTGCCCCTGCACAGCAGACCCTCCACAGAGGGAGGAGGTTGGTGGTCACTAGGCACAGCCAATCCTTGCAGGTGACTGGCCTGGGTAAGTCCCTCCCATTGACCTGCCAACAGCAACCAAGGCTCAACTACAGGAGGAGGGTGTACTCAGCCCACACAGAGGGCACACCTCGAGTACCCAGCTTGGGTGATAGGGGAGGCTGTGCCACTGGACCCTACAGGACACCTACAACATTAGGTCAAACTACCAAGACAGAGACATAGCAGTTCCCCCTGATACATAGAAACAAACACAGGGAGGCTGCCAAAATGAGATATGGGAACATGGCCCAAATGGGGAAAAAAAAACCTCCATAAAAAGAACTAAATAAAAGGGAAATAAGCAATGTATCAGATACAGACTTCAGAATACTGATTATAAGGATGCTCAAGGAACTTAGTATCTCAACAGCATAAAAAAGATTTAGAAATGAAGGACACACTAATTTAAATAACATTACAGGGAATCAATAGTAGAGTGGATAAAGCTGAGAATTAATGATTTGGAATATAAGGGAGCAAAAAATAACCAAGAAGTAAAGAAGCCCAAAAAACAAGGATAGTTTAAGGAGTCTCTGAGACAACTTTAAGTGTTCCAACATTCGCATCGTGGTGCCAGAAGAAGAGAAAGCAAGAACCTAGAAATCTATTTGAAAAAATAATGAAAGAAAACTTCCCTAATTTGGTGAAGGAAATAGACAGCAAGTCCAGGAAGCACAGAGTCCCAAACAAGGGGAATGCAGAGGCCCACTCCAAGACACATCAGAATTACAATGCCGAAGGTTAAAGATCAAAAGAAAATCTTAAAAGCAGCAAGATTAAAGAAATTACCTACAAAGGAGTTCCCATAAGACTGTCAGGTGATTTCTCAAACTTTGGAAGCTAGAAGTGATTGGCAAGAAATATTCAGTGTCATGAAAAGGAGGGACCTACATCCAAGACTGCTCTACCCAGCAAAGCTTTCATTTAGAATTGAAGGGCCCATGAAGAGCTTCCCAGACAAACTAAAAGAGTTCATCATCACCAAACCATTATTACACAAATTGTTAAAGGGACTTATTTAAGAAAAACATCAAAACTATGAACAAATAAAATGGCAATAAATACATACCTGTCAACAAACCAAGCAAACAAGAACAAAGAAAATCATGGATACATAGAGCATTTTGATGGTTGCCAGATGGGAAGACAATTTGGAGGACTGGGTAAAAAGGTGAGGGTTTTAGGAAGTACAAACAGTAGTCACAGAATAGCCACGGGGATGTATAAAGTACAGTATAGGAAATGGAGCAGCCAAAGAACTTACGCATGTGACCCATGGACATGGACAAAGTTGGGGGCTGCTGGGTGAGTAGGGCAAAGGGAGAAAATTGGGACAGCTGTAACAGCATAATCAATAAAACATAGTTTTTAAATATATAAGAATACACAACTTTTAATCAATTCTTGGTTTTGGGGTTCCCCCTCCTATGCCTCTGCTGTCTGTGACTTTTTATTAAAGGCAGAAAAAATAGGAATGCTATTCAATTTTCTTTTTAAATGGCCATTTGATTCTATCTAGTATATTTGTACCTGACATCATCTCCATTAAACCAGTTTTATTCCTGAGATGAAGGTACAGTGAAGAACATGTTAGCATCATTGGTTAAAACCAGTTGGCAAAGGTCTTCTAAAATGACAAATAATAAAAATTCCGCCGAAAGCACCATAACAGATTATGAAACTCCCAAATAGCTACAGCCCTAGGAAATAAGTCAAAAAAATATTGTCTTTTATGTTACAGGAAAAAAAAAATCAGTCTTTTACTATATGCCACCTCACAAGCCTGAGAATATGACATTTTTATACTAGGTTTTACTTTCATTGTTACCAGTTAAAACCCATATGGCTTTTAGTCTTTACTTATGAAAAAAGGGGGAGGCAAAGGGTTCCCCTCGAGTCTTTTGAGGAACATTCCCCAACTAAATCTTAAGTCTGCATTAAGTTTTGCAAAGATAATATTAGGCACATCAGACCCGATTTCAACTGTGTTGAGATTTCAACACTACATCCTGACAAAAAGAAGTCATTCACAAGCTTCCACTAGTGGTGAGAGAGGCGGGGGGCGGTGGCTATATGTGGATGTGGAGAGATACATCACGGGTCGGCTGTGTGATTTCGCTAGTGAAACCGCCAATACTTTTATTTAAATTGAAAATACTGAGTTTTCTAGGTATCTATTTACATTTAAGAACAGAACCATCCATGGTTTCATAGTGAACACATATTTCAGAAATGTCTACCTTGTTTCTACTCTGACAGTGGTGTTTTTACCGGGGGAGAGCTAGCTAGCCTACTCTAAAGAATGTGTTATATTTTACAGCTCCCAGGAAGACCTGGGTGTGTAATGTCATTACTCTTTCTGAGCTTCCTCAGGTTTTCATTGTACTCTTTCCAAGTATTCTGCCTCCATGGCAGAGAACTTCTTAACATCCTATTTCTCTTTCCACTTCGAATAAGTGAGGACAGGCTAGTGCCTACTTTGTGGGAAGGCTCTTGCGCAGAGAGGAATGAACTAAACTTTGGATTAAACCTGAATCCATGCCGCCTCTTTGAGTAGTGATAGAGTAAATGAGATAATCTAGAAACTCTCTTTCCCGGGAACTTGAACTGTTCGTGTCCCGACCTAGAACAGACCGGAGACAGACTCTCCATCCCGTGTGTCTGCTGCCCTGTGGAACCCACATTAAAGGAAGGAGGACACACTCCAGGACCACTCCGTTCAGGCAGTGATGATTGAACTGACTTTTTCTCCATTATCGCACCAGGACCAAACATCTCAACTGGTGACAAAAACTGAGCACTGTGAGGTTTGCTTGCTTCTATTTGTGTGAGATCTAGGTAGCCTGGGGCTTCCAGCACGTTGATTTGGGACCCTGGGCTCAGGCTAGTTCTATCAGTGAACGAATCCACGCGCCCCTCATAGCCTAGGTCGGCTGGTGCTGAGCACTGGTGCTGAGGCCAAGGCCGCTTGCACTCTCCATGATTCTCCTTATCATCCCCACCATCTTCTTGCCCTCCTTGAAAAGAGTTCTCTGTCCAATCTGATTCCTCACTAACATTTACAGCTTTGTTCATGTCCCTCAGGAATACCACAATGACAGTGATGTTATCACTTGACCCAGCATCACGAGCTGACGCCACCAATTTGTGGGCAACCATGCTGCTATCTCCATTATTCTCCTTCAGGTGGTCAGATACAACTTTTACTGCCTCATCAGGGTTCACGGTGTCATAGAAGCCATCGCAGGCCAGAATGAGGTAGTCTTCAGTTCCATCCAACACAGTAGAGGCAGAATCTGCATCCCCACAGATGTATGGCTTATGTTCAGCATCTCCTGTGGGAATTAGAACGTAGGTCAGATTGTGGTTTACCTGGAACGTAAGAATGTGTTTGACCACATTCTGCTGCATTGAGATCTAAATTTATTGGTAAGAATTTCTAAACTAGTGTTGGATAAAATATTTGAATTCTCTGTTAATCAGACACTGCTTAGTCCTTACCCTCAGTTAAATAGTTGCCATTAATTGGGCTTAATTTCTTATCTAGCTTAGACTAAATCTAGCGTCCTAGCTCATCTAAATTTGTTGCTGTACTGAAAGATTCAGTCCTATGTAGGAAAACCTTGTTAATTTAATAGATCTGTCCTTTCACTGGTGGTTAGGTTTGATTCAGCTGAGATTTGAGACTAAGCCCACACTGAAAAACAAACCAAAGGTAGATCGCTCTTCACTAAACTTAATTTTTGTTCTGTCCTTGTTTAGAAATAAAGTATCCTGTTGCGAACACAGAGAAAGGCCTGAGTTACAAGGGATTTTAAAAAATCAAGTCCAACTCCCACAAGCCAGGAAAAGTCATCCCAAACTTCAGACAAGGGAACAGAATAGAATGTTAGTCTCTTGGTTCCTGTCCAATTTGCTTTCTATGTTTTGTTTTTTTTTTAGATTGATTGATTGATTTTAGAGAGAGTGGAACTGAGGGAGAAAGAAGGGGAGAAAAACATCAATGTGTAGTTGCTTCTCATGCACCACCCACTGGGGACCTGACCTGGTCCACAACCCAGGCATGTGCGATGTCTAGGAATCAAACCAGTGACCCTGTCAGTTCGCAGGTTTGGTGCTCAATCCACTGAGCTACACCAGCCAGGGCTGCTTTCTATGTTTTAAGTTGTTTTGCTTATTCTAGAAAACAGTCTTCATATGTTTCTGATCATCCCCCTTTCTGTCTTTATTGTTATTGTTCATTCTCCACTTGTGAACAACTATGAGAACCCCCAGAGCCCTACTGGCTTATTAGCTCATCCACCTACAGAATGACGCCTGAGCTGGGGGTTATCACCAGGGAAGGGCCAAAGACAGGCAGCTATTAGGAAGTAATGTGCTGGGAATAGAGAAGGAAAGACGAGAGCTTGGACCCACACTAAGCTAGGTTTCTGTCACCAGAGTACCAAGATAATTCGTCATCCACAACGCAGTTTAGAATTTCCAGGTCCAGGGCACTTTCAAGTCTGTTCATTATTTTCCTTTAGGTATCTGCAGAGAAACTAGCCAAAGGGCCCTTAGCCTATTGGGTAACCAAATAGCTTATTACTTCAAGGGATACTCATTTCTTTACATAAGAAAAAACAGTATTGAGCAGTAATTCCTAGGCTAGGGTATCATAATTCATTGGTAAACAGTAGTTTTTAAAAATTTACAAAATGCGTTTTATCATTTGTAAAACAGTGACATACAAACACAGTGGTTTAAGCAGGCCAGCACTGAAGTCAGATTGCCTGGGTCCAAATCCTAGCGCTGGTTAAAAGCCCTCATCAGTGACTATCCTTTCCACTCCACTAACACTGAACTTTCTGACTGAGGGAAGATAAAATGAAGAGAAATGTATCTCAGTGATCTGACTATATTATCACTGCTTCTGGTATCTGTTATAGGTTCTCCTACCCAAGTAAGGTTCTCTCCAACATTTCACACCCCTCTTTAACCCTCAGGTAGGCCCAGAAAGCTGATTAAGAACCCAATGGATAACTCCGATAGCACCACCATGGGCCACATGCCCTGTCCAGTAGGTTGCATGAGATACCCTGAACAATAACTGATGTATTTACCTGCATTAGTTTATCTATAAAATAAGAAACTATCTTGTTCATACAGTAGCCAGAACCATCTTCATCAACCATGGTTTTGATTAAAGGCATTAGCCTGTTAAAGCTCATTAAGACTCCCAATCACGGATTCGGTGCCCTCCGCCGATCCCCTTCATAAACTTCTCCAGTCGTTCTTCCACCTGACTGTATTACCATCATCATCATCATCATCATTATTTTCTGAATTCCAGCTCTAAAAATAAATGGAATCTGAGTCATACTGTTCTCAAAAATCTTGTTTTAGTGTTTCAATTAAAAGGCTAGTGCAACTGTTAGTTTAGAACAGAACATACAAAGATTTGCACAGAGGAAATGCTGCCAAAATTCTGGCTTTTCACCTGCTCTACTGTTTCATGTCAAATTCATGACATTTCGCCCCCAAATTTCGGAGGAGGGCATGATTATCCATTTCGAGGTGGAAATGGCGACATCCTTTTGTCTTCAACCTCCTCTCTCCATATGCTAGGAAACATCACACTTCTGTCAACTACAGATCATAAAGCCAAAGGGCTCGTGGGGAGACCCAGTTTAAAGGCTTTTATTTTTTATTTTATTTTTTAAAGATGTTATTTATTTATCTTTAGAGGGGAAGGGAAGGAGAGTGGGAGAGAGAAATATCAATGCATGGCTGCCCCCCAGCCATAATGCAATAATTCTATATGCACCTCCGCTGGCAACCAGCCCGCAACCCAGGCATGCACCCTGACTGGGAATCGAACCACAATCATCTCGTTTGCAGGGCCGCACTCAATCCACTGAGCCACACTAACCAAGGCATGCTGTCCCATCAATTTATACCCTTCTCTGTATCCCTTTTTAGCCGCCCCATCTCTTTAACAAACTAACAAACTATTAACAGCCTCCTCAGCGATCACTCACCCGGGCTTTCTACTCCAGTCTGTCTTCCAAACCATTATTACAAATATCTTATAAATACACACCTGATCGTGTGGGCACCTCTGCTTCTCACCTGGTAAAGCCCAGACTGCTTAGGCCCTTCACAACCTGGCACCAGCACTTCCCTCTTATCACTCTCACCCCTCCCCCAGCTTCCTGTACTTGCTACTGTTCCTAACACACATGCTTTTTCAGATGCCCATGTATTTATATTCCTCTGTACCTGGAATTTTCTCCCAGAATCCCATCTTCCACATCCAACTCAAAAGTCACTTCTCTGAAGTCTGCATTATTCTCTCTTAGATTGTTATTTATTCAAGGTCATTCTTTCCCTGCGTCAATTTTCCCTTGTGTTATATTTTTAGAAACAAGAAAAGGCAAGTATCCTTAGTAAAGCTGGCTCTATAACAGGCATTAAAGATAACTCTCAATACCCTGACAAAGACGGGAAGATCAAGAGGAAGAGGTGTTTGGTTGGAGTTGTCAAAAATAATTCTATATGGGGGATATTTTAGAAATGAGGAATTTCCCCTATTTGGTCTTATTCCAGTTACCAAGAACCCCATTGGTTATACGATAAAGCCAACTTTCAGTGTTTCAGGAGGTACTGCAGAATTTTTCTGTTTCACCCTTCTGCTGCTCACATCTGGGCCACTTCACAGCTTGGCAGCACCTTCCCCAACAGTGGGAGGACCTCGTACCAGTGGCTAAATTGAATCAGTCCTTTGAGATTTTGTCAGTGTTCTGGGGTTTTCTGGTAATGATAAGCAGAGTGTGAGGATCAGAGCTGAATTCTGTGTGTCCATGTTATCCCTGTGTCAAAGTGCTTCACTTCTTTCAGAGGCAGCGACCGAGAGCTGCAGTCCACGTGCACACACGCATATGACCCACACAGACACAGATTGATTCTTAAAAAAAAGCAACAGAAATGGAGCTAAGGCATGGAGCTAAGGCATGGGACCTAAAATAATACACCCAGGCACCACACAGAAACTGGACTATGGCTCAGTTCTTTGAACTTACTCTCCTTTGCATTTTGTCCAGTCAACTTAGCTGTTCCTAAGTTTTTAGACAGAGTTCTGTTGACATTACCCTCCTTTTGAAGAACTTAGGTCTCAAGGACCAGACTCTTTGAAACCCCAGAGTTGTCTGGCAAATTATTACATTCTCATACAGAAAATTATTTTTATCTAAAAAGCACAATGTTTTTTCTATAGATTTGTTCTGTTTATGTCATTTTAGAATTCATAATAAATGACAAAGATATAAAAGTAAGGTAAAATATGAGGGAAAACTTCCATTCTCTAGAAAATACTGACTGAAATTCAATCTGACATAAAATAAAATGAGGATTGCTGTGGTTTTAAGCAGATTTGTGTACTAAAGATTAAAGGCTTTCATTAAAAAAAAAAAAAAAGAAAGGAAGGAAGGAAGGAAGGACAGGAAGAGAGAGAGAGAGAGAGAGAGAGAGAGAGAGAAGAAAGAAAAGAAAGAAACTTGCACTGATTGGTATGGCTCAGTGGGTTGGGCATTGTCCCGCAAATCAAAAGGTCACCAGTTCAGTTCCCATTCAGGGCACATGCATGGCTTGCAGGACAGGTGCCCAGTTTGGGGCGTCTGCAAGGCAACCAATCAATGTTTCTTTCGCACATCACTGTTTTTTCCCTCTCTTTCTTCCTCCCTCTCTCTATAAAAATAAATTTTTTAAAAAATATTTAAATTAAAAAAGGGTGAAAACTAGTAAGTTTAGCACTTGTTAACATAGTTCCCTTTTAATAATAGAATTTAAGGATATAAATGAGTAGGTTAATTAAATAAAATAATTAAAAGAGGCATCATCTGACTGTTTTTTTTTAATAAATATAAGCACGCTGGTAATATAAATGATCATCTCAGGTTCCCTTGTATCAGAGTTAATATAAAATAATGAGCCAGAAGAGACAGTTTAGAGAAACGAAAATTAATTAGTGTTTCCTACCAATAGCTCTGGAGACTGATAGACTTCCATTCACTCTCCAGGCACCAAACCAGACTACACAACCTCCAAGGGCTTCAATTCGCTGCTTTTCATCCTAAACAGCAATGCAGTAAAAAGCAAATAATTAGATTCAGAATTTATTCATCTACCTTAACACTAAACAGATACAATACTCATCAGCTTCCTGGAAAGGTTCTCTTTATTTTTCTTTTGAAAGGTGAGCATGGTTGCTGAGATAATGGTGATAATTATGGTAATTAAGTAAAGGCTAATTAACAAGTGCCTCTGTGGAACAGACAGCACCTACCTCTCTGTCTGGTTTGTGTGGCTTCATCAGCTCCACAGCTTGGCCCTTCCGCACCAGCATAACCTGGGAGTCGCCCACCCAGGCCACGTGTAGCATGTTGCCTCTGATAAAAGTCACCACTCCTGTGGTCCCACATCTTAAGCTCTGAAAATAGTTTCAATGAAACTAGAGTCAGCAAAAATAAACATATCAAAATCTCATTGAGAAGCAATTTACAGTTGATACCTTCCAGCTGGGAGCTACATTATTAATAACTCAATTTTACAAACAGCAATTCCCATTTCCAAATTTCAGTTTGCCACGTTTATGTGCATATATGTATTTATGTGTACACACAGAGATCCATTTGATCTGAGTTATGCAAGGCAGGGGTGAGTATTCCATTCTATACACAGGTAAGAAAACTATGGCAGGTCATATGACTTGTCCTGTGGCAGGTATCTGATTAGTAAACAAAAGAGAAATAAAATTCTTTTTCCTGCTAGTTCAGTGCTGTATCAACCCTACGAGTAGATTATCAATTGTGATCTTTGTTTTGTTATTGACCTACTATTGTATGTTTACGGGAGACAGTCCTTGCTTTACAAAATAATATATAAAGCATCTGACTGACACACAAATGCTCCCAAAGTCTGGACAGTAAGAAAGAGCCAAGAGATAATAACACAGGCTCCCTGGATGAGTGCTAAGATGCTTATACCTGAAACAATCATTTTAGGGGCCTTTTGAAACACTGCATAAAGAACTAACAGCCTGGAATTTCTCTGCAGCGGCTCTGTACCACTGTACTTAATGCTCTTGATAGTACTATACTAAAATGACATCTCCATCTGACATGAGTCACCACCAAATGAGCATGACTTTCTGTTACTAAGGACTTGGCCTAAATTAGAACCAGTGCGTCATGGGTGGTAAAAGGCCCCTTGTAACCAATGAGAAAAACAACTTCTCATTTTCCTTATATAGGGAAAGTTTGTTATAAGTCCTCACCCACCAATAAAATATCTTCCCACACAGACTGTTCAGAAACTCAGCCCCCTGGAACACATGATAAAGACACTTCGGTGCATATGCCCTGGAGAGAACAGGAGGCAGGGCTGCTTCACAACAGGAATAGCTACTTTCTTCCCAGCAGTTAGCAGCACATGGAAGTCCAAAAAGGAGAAAAGCAACTGTTGAGAAAAACCTAAATTATTCAAGAGAACTACTGGCAGGACTGAGGAACTCTAGGATCACTGGCAAAGCGAATAAGGTGAATGTGGTCAGGGAAAAAAGCCATACTTTTGAGGACACAGAGGAAAAGAGAACAGAGGCTGAAGGCAGCAAGTGACTCTGAGTTTGCACGGTGATTAGAGATCACCTCTCAGGGGCCAGGGCTTTTCCTCAGTCAGAAGGATGACGGCCAAGCAGTGCTGGTTCTCAAGAGACTGGGAAGGTCTGAGGCCAGCGCTGTATTCTGGTCTCTAGCCCCGCGCCTCTATATGTAGACCTTGGTTGTTGCTGTTGGTAGATTTACATATTAATCTAAACCTGGGGTGCAGGTGGGGAAATACAGAATATTTTTCTCTTGCCTTATACCAGATGGTTCTGAATTACTGCTTCATTATTCCAGGCCCCACTACTGCTATACAGCATAACTAGGAGATCAAAGAAATGGGTTAAAATGATCACTCTGTTCTCTCCAAGTCCATTTTGAAAAGAGTTAATGTTTAAGTCATAGGGCAGGAATCTTATGTGTATATAATACTGTAATTACATTTAAAAATTAAAAATGATTCTTCTATTGGCTCCCAATTAGAAATGAATATAAAGTACCTTAGTTAATTATGTACCAATAACAAGACTCATAATTAGATTAAAATTTTTACTTTTAGATCTTAATATAGAGTCCCTGTCATTCTTTCAGAGTAAAAACCTCAAGTCTGATTAACCTTAAGAAATTAGGACATGAGCTCCTGCTTTTCTTCCTGTTAAGAGAAAAATCAGTGCAAGGATCATCTAAGGATTCACTGTCTCCAAGCAAATCTTCCCTCAAGAGATGCACAGCAAAACACTGCCAGCCCATTTAGAACTAAATGTATGGGAGTAATCCCAGCTTGTTTTTTTTAGACCATTGTTTTAATCACCATATCCAGATTTTATCAGCAAGACTGCTTAGAGAGGTGGTCCTTGTGTGAACCTGGCAGGCAACAATGAGTAAGAAAGACAAATCTCACCTGCCAAATCCAGCAATGGACAGCCTTTCTAGAAAATTAGAACTTGGGAGTTTCTGTATAGCACGTCATAGCACCCCACTAAAACTCTTCCTGAAGACAGAATTAGTACTACTGAAGAATCCAACACTGTAGGTCAAGGACAAAGTTTGGAAAAGAACTTTTGATAATCCCTGCCCTGGCTGGTGGGGCCCAGCTATTTGGAACATCATCTGTAAACCAAAAGGTTGTAGGTTTGATTCCTGCTCAGGGCATATGCCTGGGTTGGGGATTCAGTCCCCAGTCAGGGTGTGTATGAGAAGGCAAGTGATTGATGTTTCTCTCTCATACCAGGTTTCTCTCCCTCCTTCCCCCTCTCTCTAAAAACCAACAAGCACAGCCTTGGGTGAGAATAATAATGCCAGTCCCAAAAGAAAATCCAAATACCCTTTAGCCACAGACCAAGCTGAGCTCAGCTAGTACAGTCAGGACTAGAATTTATGAGAAAACGCATACCTCCCTGGCTGCTTTCTGCACAAACCGCTCATCAGTGACCCGGAAGGCCCGGCACAGGGCCTCAGCAGGATCATGGGGGAACATCTCCTGGCGTACCAAATTAACGTGCAGGTGGACAGAGGCATAAATCGCAGCATCCACTCCTCCGTGGCCATCAAACACTGCAAAGTAAGCTTGTTCTTCCTGGTCCTGTCAAAAGAAACACAGAAACAGTTAAGGGAGTTAGGTATAGCATGATTCAATGAGCCAATCCCCTGCACTGTACCCATCCTCCTCCACTGCATTTGCTACCAGATAATGAGACCAAATGTTTCCCTTTTCTGACATGGCTGATCAACTGCTAAAATACCTGCAGTCAGTATTAGGGCATCTGTGTTTACATCAGAGCACTGGAACACATCATGCCTAATTAGCTCAGGCTGAAGTGCCCTCTCTCTGAAAGTTGTTGTCTTGCACCATGGAAACCACCCACATGCATTTGCTTCAAAATTGCTATTACAATTTTGAGGGGAGAGGAAGGAAGAGAAGGTATGAGGAGCAACTGAACAAAAGCTGTTCTGGATTGAGTTCTTTTCCAAAAAGAAAAGCATTTTAATCATAAAATTAGAAAGTAAGAACAATAGAAAGTAATCGGCCTTCCAGCACATAACAAGGCCAATTATATTACGTTGTTAAAATAAAGAGATAATGACAGCATATACATACTTCTAAATTACAAAATCTCCCTAATAAATCATTCATGGTCCCATGAATTCTCACAAGTAACAGCCCAAACTAGTTGGCAAAGCTTGAACCACAACAGATGTCCAAATGCCCTGTAACACTTCACCTTGTCCCCTAATTCAAGATTCAGCTTCCCTCCTCCTTGCCCACCCACCCATTGCGTGAAATGGTACAACAAGTGCCAGAGGAAGGGCTTTGGAACCCGTCCTCTGTCCTGACACAGGAAGCCTAGTCACAAGGTTACATCAAAGCCATTGGGTAGTTTACTTCTTAAACTTGAGTGTTTAAATCTCAGATCTGGCCTGCTTAGGAGCTCTACAACTCACTGAACTCTGAGTCCTGGACTCCCTTTAGGCAACGTACGTAAGGACTTTCATTTGTAAGCCTTTCACGATGCTTGTGCTCTCGGAGCTTGGATGCGTCCAGGTCCCGTCATTCTAACATAACAAATATACAAAGTAAATCATAATTTTCTTGTACTTGTTTTCCTATCTACTGTGGGGATTTGGAAGGACTACCAAAATGTATATTTTGGAAAGACTAAGTGTACATTTGTAATTTGGAAAAGTTCTTTTAAAGGGTGTACTTGCATTTACAATAGTACCACATAGAGATGTCCACAGAGTATTGATGATATTATGAAGTCTATATCTACTACAGACATTACTACTAGTTAATCTGGCAATCTAATGAACACCATCTGTAATGCCACCCAAGATTAACTAGTTAAACAAAACTATCTAGAAGAACATTTCTGACATGTAAAATTTCTACCTATACTGAAAAGCAATAATCATTTTTAAACAACTCAATTGGCAGAGTAAGAGTAAGATTAAAAAAACCAGCACATATAAGCAGTTTTTAATGATGAGCAAGCTGTTGTGGGATTATCACAAGGGGTGGGGGCAAGAATACCTTTACTGGGACGTGAGAATATAACTAAACAATTTGAGGCCAATGGGGAGGCTCTTAGTGTATGTATGTAGCATCAGAAGAAGCAGAAGGAGCCGAATGGATCTCTTAAATAATTAGCAGAGCTTCTTAAATTGAGCAAAAGAAAAAAAAACCTGATGTTTTTCCTATTATAAAGATGGTATACATTTATATGGCCTGATAAAGAAAATCTAAAGAAGTAAATAAACATCTCTAATTCCATCATCCACAGATAACCTTTTTTTTATACACATACATTTTCAATAAAATCAGATCATACTTTACACAGAATTTTATACATATATATATATTTTAAAGATTTTATTTATTTATCTTTAGAGGGGAAGGGAAGGAGAGAGGGAGAGAAACATCAATGTTTGGTTGCCCTTTATGCGCCCCCTGCTGGGAAATGGCCTGCAACCCAGGCATGTGCCCTGACGGGGAATCGAACCATGGTTGTTTGGTTTGCAGGCCTGAGTTCAATCCACTGAGCTATACCATCCAGGGCCTTTATACAGAACTTTATATCCTTTTTATCATTAATCATCTCATTAGCATTTCTACCATGTCATTAAGTATTCTCAAAGATATAACTTTAAATGGACAGGTACTATGTATCTTATGAGCATATCATAGTTAACATTGCCTAAATGTAATAATTTAGATCATTTCCAATTTATTATTATTATTAACAGTGTTGTATCAAACAGGCCAAACAAAACATCCTTTGGGTTACATCCTTATGGGCATGGTAACATTTGGAAACAAAGCTACTACCAGATCTGTCTTTGTAACCTAAGTGCTGATTACCAACCCACCATCACTGCTTATCAGGCCTTGACAGCTAAAATTTAAATTTAACTCCTAAATGAAGAAAATACCAGGCTTTGTAAAAATTACTGCACTGTAATTTCTAAGTTATGGACTTGAGTGTAGGAAAGAGGCAAGTGATAGGCAAAGAAACAAACCTACCTCTGTTTGCATTAACATAATACACTTAATAGAAAGAGAAGAGGAATCTAACAAGAACATGGTCATTAAGTTGACAAGGCTCATGTGATCTAATTTGTCAGTCACAGTGATTCTGAAAATGTAATTCCAGCTACTTTCCTATCTCAGAAACCAAGATTTAAAACAAAAAACCACATGAAATTAAAAAACTGTCTCAGTCTCACATTCTTTCTTTCATGTTTGTTTTGTACTGCTTTAGCAACACAGTAATGTGGAAACTTAATAAACAACACTTGATTATACTATCAAACAGTTTTCTTTAAGAAAAAACAGCTTTATTGTGATATAACAGTTTTCTTTTTTACTTGTATGTTTATAGAATAGCTCTGTGAGGTTACACAAGAAGCTGGTAATTCCCTTGCCTTCACGGAGGGGAACTGAGTGTCTGACAAAGATAAGAAAGAGATGTTATTTTCCTATTTTAAACCACATGAATATATTACCTATTCAAAAAAAGTTCCTTTCCTGTTGTCTGATGCAAGCAAATTTGTGTCATTTTGCCTTTAGTCCTATTCCAACCTACCAGAGACACTATTAGAAGTACATTAGTTGTTAGAAAACAGGACCCTGAAGGTGTTTTTCTTAAATCTCACTGACTGCAGAAGCGCCTTTTACCTCCAGGTTGAAGAGCATATTAAAGTCAGGAATGCAGACATGTTTGTCCTCCATTTTCCGGCGCATGTTTTTGATTGCGTGGATGGATGTCTCATAGTAAAGCTGGGGTCTCCTGCGCAGAGGGAAGTCCTTCACCCAGCTGCAGCAGATCTCGTGGAGCTTGCTGAAGACAGAACGGGCCAATTTCACCGTCTCAATCTCTGTGAAAGAAATACAGAAACACCCAGTGAAGAGCCTTGTAAAACTGCTTTTCTCTTGCCTGACTGATAAAAGACTGAAGTAGGTCACATTAGTCAAACTCCTCCTTAATAGAAGAAATTCCTCCCTCAAGAAAAATGAAATGTTGCTTCTGAAGAGAGAAAATGACAACCTATCTAGTGGAAAATCAGCCAGCAGCTGCACGAAGATAATCCTTATGTCATGCAGAGAAAAACCGCTGGTCAGGGCTGGACCTTTGCCAAGGCTGGATTTTTCCTGGCCCACACAGTGCCTTGGACACTGCTATCAAGTGCAAGGCTCCGGTGCTTTTTTGGTTGGCTGCCTTGGTTATCATCTGGAGAGCTTAGAAGAACCACTGAGCAGTAGCTACCCAGCTCATTGGAATGTGAAAGGCCTATGAGAAACAGGTTACTGATTTACAAACTACAAGAATCAGAAGTTTACCTTGATGACCATTTGTTTCCCTCTTCCTAACCTCTTCTTTACCTCCTTCCACTCACCTAACTTTTCTCTCCTTAATCTCTCCTGATTATAATTTGGAAGTAAATTATGTATTTTTGTTATTTGATGTATTTTTAAGTTAAAGCTTTAGGTTATAGCTTAAATAGTTTGGCCAAAAGGTTAACAAAGCTTTCTATTTCTCTAAGGAAAAAGTATTCAAATTCTGCCTATATGCCTAACCTTGGATAGAAAAGAGATAGCAATTAGAATTCTTTACCTTGGACTATTAAGTCTGCTACCTGACCTATTAATTGGAGCCTACTAACTGATTTCTGAGGCTGTCTTGCATCCCTCAATGTGTGGACAGAAGGGAAAGAAAGCCTTAAGTTACAACACTGAATAGTACTGCCCAGATTGTCTCCTATCATCTCCACTCAAGTTGTCTTCTATTCAAGTTGCAGCTACCAAAATAACCAAAGGGAGATTAGGTTTTTTCGGGCCAGTGTTTTAGAGGTTCTTCCTACATCCTAGGTTTAAAAAAAATTAGAATTCTCAATTACTAAGTCAGATATAGCTTGACAGCCTGAGAAAAATGTGTGCCAGATGGGCAATGGCTATGCATGCCTCCTGCAATACACAACACAAATCCCAGAGAAGAAGGACTGTGTGTTCTTAGAATGGCCTGGGAACTTAAGGGTCTCATTTCATATTCCTCGCTCTGCCATTGCCTAAATCTGTGACTATAGTTACCAGTTTTCTTATTCAAATTTCTTTTTAAGATGTTCAGAAACTGACCTGAAGGTTCTTGTTGCTTTTTTTTCTCATTAACATAACATAATACAGGGTAGTAAGCCACGTTTTGTGCCTTTGTCCCACTGACATTTTTATATAACTAAAAAGGACATTTGAAAGAAAAGAATTTCAAAGAACACATAAAACCTGAGGAAATATGTATAAGAGGGAAACTGAGGCCAAGAGCCAACCAAACATTTTGACTGGTTTAAGCAACTCCAGTCTCTCTTTTTTTAAGCACCAGTTGCCAGAGATAGTCTCTTTCAGCCAGAAATTACCTGCTTGTATCACTCCGACCCATCTGGACCTTGCATTTGGGTGTGTATTTGACTCGGTCACAATAGAGGATGGCAGAAAGATAAATGAATTCAGAAACTTTGAAGGAGAATAGAGTTGGGTGAAACAAATAACTGATTAATTATCATGACAACTACCACATTCCCAGATAATAATATAAACCATCATATCATTCTTTGATTTATATATTACTCTTATGTAGACCTGGATTGTCCAATAAGGTAGCTTCCTAGCTACATGTGGCTACTTAATTAAAGTTAAATAAAATTTTAATTTCAGTATTTTGGTCATATCAGTGATATTTCAGGTGCTAAATGACTGCATATAGCCAGTGGCTGCCACACTGAACAACACAGGTAGAGAACATTTCCATCACTGTGCTGTCTACTGGACAGCACTGGTGTAGACAGATTAAATTGGTTAGGGGAAGCAATACCAGCTTCTGCTAATGTTTAGTGAAACACTAGAACTGTCCATTATGCCTCCCAGTTAGTCCTTCCTTTATCTTCTCACTGCTGTTTGTTCACATCATCTTTTAAAGCTCTTACCACAGCCTCTAAAATAGGTAATATTTGGGGGGTATTTGCTACATTCTATGTCTCCAGAATATTTCACAAACAGATAAAACCATTCTCAATCCCAGATATATCTGACTCTAACACCCATGTTCTACATTTCCTAAATTAGACTGCAGATAGAAACTGTTTCTTAATTTTCCTTGATTAGTCATAGTATAGTACCTAGCAGATAGCAGGGTTCATTAGATGTTTACAGAATAAATGAACATGCAAACTTAGAAAAATTATATAATCACTAAAATGTTAAAGTATTTGTATGCTTCTTGATCACCTATTCTGCTCCACTGATCTTTCCATCTATTTCTACAACGGTGCCATTCTTTTAAAATCACTGTAACTTTATACATAGGAATATCACATGGATTAGTTTTCCTGCCTACTATTCTTAATTTTATTTTATATAAAGATTTTACTTATTTTTAGAGACAGGGTAAGGGAAGGAGAAAGAGAGGGAGACAAACATCAATGTGCATATCGATTGGCTGCCTCGCGCGTGCCCCCTACTGGGGACCTGGCGTGCAACCCAGGAAATGTGCCCTGACTGGGAATCAACAGCAGACCTCTTAGTTTGCAGGCTCAACCCACTGAGCCACACCAGCCAGGAAATACTATCCTTAATTTTAAAAGATGTCACTTTGCTTTGATGTGTTTATTCTTCTAGATGAACTTTCAAATTATTTTGCCAACTGTTAGGGGAGAAATCGGTTGCCATTGTGTTTGGGATCATACTGAACTGATAAAGTTATTTGGGAGAAAATGACATTTTTTTATACTGAGTTTCTCCAGCAACAAGCTAGATGGTTTCACTAATTTAAATCTTTTTTTATATTGCTCAATAGAGTTTTAACATAGGTCCTTCATATTTCTTAATGAATTTATTCATTATTTTATTTTATTTATTTGCTATTTTGAGTCTGAACTTTGCTTTAATGTGTTATTTGCCACCTAGAAAACATTTCCCTTTCTACCAGGAACACTCCTTCTCTATTCTCAGTCCATGTGCATCTGGAGGTCCAGGCAATTAGAAAATCATATCCCTATGCCCATGATTGGTTCAGGAATGGGAAATTAATCCAAGCTGGGCTGATTAGAGTAAATCTTGTGACTTACATAAGAGCAACTGAGGAAAATTACACTTATTTTCCTGCTTGATTTGAACCTGGGCAGATGAAGACCTGGTGCTCCTAACTGCATGGAGTCTTGACACTGCATGGAGCCTGAAAATAAAATCGAAGTGAAAGAGAGTACAGCTGACAGCTGGAGAAATGCCAGGTTCTGATGACATTATGTGAAGCCTTCAGTCTGGCTGTGCAGCCCTTCCCCTGAAGGGCAGCCAATAAATTCGGTTTTGCTAAAGCCTGTGTGAGTGTGCTAATAAAGCCTGTGTGAGTGTGAGTGTGCTAACACACTGGATTTACTAAATCCAGTGTGTTAGTGGACACTTAGCAACCAAAATATTCTGGATATACATATACATTAAACAGAAACTCTGGATTTTGGTTTGAGCCAGATTCTTTTCTACAGTTTCCAAGATGCATCCATCTAGTTCTTTATTAACTGTATTTTAAAATTAAGACATACTGAATTTTATCAAATGCTTCTTTGGGCATCTTTAGAGATTATTCTGTTTTTTTTTTTCTTTTGGCTATTAACATTATAAATTATGTTGTTCACTGCTATTTCACCAGCACAGTGCTAAGTATATGGTAGGCTCTCAATAAAACCCTCATCAAATGAATTAACTGTCGTACTCAATGTTACCAGTGTTTTACTTAGTATATTTAATACTGGTTACTAAGAATGATCTCTCATTTCCTTTTTAAATTTTGTCTCAGTCCATTGGTCTAAGTTTTGGTATCAATGTTATACTGTAAAAAATTTTTCCTTTTAAAAAAATTTTTTTATTTATCTTTAGAATGGAAGAGGGAGAGAAATATCAATGTATGGTTGCTTCTCATGCGTGCCCTGCTGGGAACTGGCCTGCAACCCAGGCATGTGCCCTGACTGGGAATCGAACCGTCATCTTTTGGTTCACAGGCCCATGCTCAATCCACTGAGCTACACCAGCCAGGACAAAAAAAAATTTTTTTTTCCTTTTTTTATAAAATTAAATAATTTATTTTAAAAAGCATTGGAATTATCTGTCCTTGATCATTTGAAATTGTTCACCTGTACAATCACCTACTCCTTTTTCTTTTGTGAAGATAGCTAGCTCCTTAACAATCTTCCGAATGTCTTTTTTCTTAGGTAAAGTTTGTTAATTTGTATTTTTCTAGAAAGTACGCAGGTTTTCAAATTTATTCACATAATATTTTATAATTCTTTTCATTTCCTCTGTATTAGTGATCATTTCCCCCTTCTTGTTTCTAATTTTTATATTGGGATATTTCAAATTGATTTTGGGTTGTCTGTACAGGCATTACATCTAAACTAAATTTGTACCAACAGATATGCAAGGTTGTTTAGCAAACCTTCTGTTAGGGAATGATAGAAACATGAGAAGAACTTTAAGATTTTTTTAAATTATATTTTATTGATTATGCTATTTCAGTTGTCCCAATTCTTCCCCCTTTGCCCCCCCCCACCTAGTACCTCCCACCCCCTCAGGTAATCCCCCTACCATTGTTCGTGTCCGTGGGTCATGCTATAAGTTCTTTGGTTTCTCCATTTCCTGTACAGTACTCTGCATGGCCGTGGCCATTCTGTGACTACCTAACTGTACTTCTTAAACCCCTCACCCCTTCACCCATTCCCCGGCATTCCCCTCCCATCCGGCAACCATCAAAATGCTCCCCATGTCCGTGATTCTGTCCCTGTTCTCGTTCGCTTAGTTTGTTTTCTAGATACAATTGTTGACAAGTATGTATTGCCATTTTATTGTTCATAGTTTTGACCTTATTTTTAAATAAGTCTCTTAAGAATAAGAGACTTATTCTTAAATAAGTCCCTTTAACACTTCATATAATAATGGTTTGGTGAGAGTTCTTTTAAAGACAAAAGGCATTTCAGTGGGGACTTCAGTGCCTTTAAGCCAGTAACAGCAGGCGTTATTCAGTGTGTTCATTTCCCACTCTGATATATGGAGAAATACAACATGCCCTGTAGACATTCTCCTCAGTGCAGTTCACATTGAATGATTTGGGTTAAACCAGGGGTGTCAAACACATTTTCACTGGGGGCCACATCAGCCTCACGGTTGCCTTCAGAGGATCCAAGTGTAATTGTAGGACTGTATAAATGTAACTACTCCTTAATTGTTAAGTGAGAGCTTGGCACTGTCTGTGGATAGAAACAAGGTGCAGAGCCAGATAAAACAAGGTGGAGGGTCAGATTCAGCTCGAGGGCCTTGTGTTTGCCACCTGTGGTTTAAACAAATTAAGGACTTGCAAATAGTTTCGAATTATTATAATTTCTTGGAAAGATATAAAATCAGAATGATCAATAATACCCACCAAAAGGAAAAAAACCCCTTCATTTCACTTTTGCTATCTTAGGGGTGTCAGAAAACTCGTATGAAGTAGGCATGCAGGGCAACACCTCAGTCTTGCCGCTTTAACTGTTCTTCTGCAGAGAATGGCATAGAAAATTAGTATATAAATAACTGCTGCTTGAAATAGAAAATAAAAGTAAAAAGAGTGTGAAAATGAGAAAATTGTTCAAAGTAGTAGTATACTTCCTAATAGCTGTAAATTTCTCATACTTTTTAAAAAACAATTTGGCAGCTTCCTTTGCTTTTTTAAAAATAGATTTTTTTATTGATAGATCAACTGATAGATGGATAAACAGGAGAAGGGAGACAGAGAGAAACGTTGATGCTTGAGAGATATATTGATTGGTTGCCTCTCACACTCCAACTGGGGACCTGGCCTGCAACCCAGGAATGTGCCCTGACCAGGAATCGAACCAATGACCTCTTTGGTTTGTGGGATGATGCCCAGCCCACTGAGCCACACCAGTTAGGGGAATTACTCATGAATCTTAATGTCACTGTACTGAGCTGGAGCTGAGTCAGCCTGGCTGCAATGAAGCAGAATTTAATCTCCCTCCCCTCGTCATTAGAGGACTTTTACTTCATGCATCAGAACCACAGGAAAGACCAATGCTTTGTAGCAGGAGTTACAACTGACTTGCCTCTAGAATAACCTGGTTCCAAGTGAATCAATTACTCTCAATAAAAACAAGCAGAGGAATTCCCTCTTTACCAATTCTCTGTCAAAAATGATCTAGAGAGCCCTGGCTGGTATAGCTCAGTGGATTGAGCACAGGCCTTCGAACCAAAGGGTTGCCGGTTCGATTCCCAGTCAGAGCACACAGCTGGGTTGCAGCCAGGTCCACAGTAGGGAATGCGGGAGAGGCAACCACACATTGATGCTTCTCTCCCTCTCTTTCTCCTTCCCTTCCCATCTAAAAACAAATAATTAAAATCTTTTTAAAAATGATCTAGAGAGATCAAGGAAGAACAGGAGTGTTTACTGTATACCTGCTTCAGATTCTCTGCAATCTAGCCACTCTGATTCATTATTGTATGCTTTGCTCCTTATGCCCAAGTTTAAAGGCAAATGCTTAAAACAGAATAGAATGGAATATTAGGGGACTTCCGCCAAGATGGAGGCGTAGGTGGAAGCACTGTGCCTTATCGCACAACCAAGTTTTAAAAAAACAAAGTTTTAGCAACAAAAATGCAGCCAAACCACAGAAATTGAACTACATGGAAGTCTGACAACAACGAACCCTTCAGCCAAACCAGTAAGAGGGGCAGAGCCAACAGCAGAGCAAGGTCGGGCAGGAAAGATCCACCAGACCAACTGGGACATGCTACCCAGATGCGCCAGCAGCGGTGGGCGGATCCCAGTCACACATTCCTGTGCAGATAAACTGGTGAAGGAGCTAACAGTGAGACGGACTGCGCAGGCCCCAGCAGCAGGAAGCGGCAGAGGGAACCGCCATTGTCCCTCTCTGAACATGCCCCCACATACAGCGTCACAAGCCAGTGACCTGGGTGGCCCCAGCCTGGTGAACAACTAAGGCTCCTTTCCTCCTCATACTTAACAGGCACAAACAGATCAAAACATGGCTCAAGAACCACTCAGAGCCCCAGAGCCGATAAATCTAAGCAATGAAGAAATAGCCAAACTCTCAGGTGCGCAGTTCAAAACACTGGTGATCAGGATGCTCACAGAACTGGTTGATTTTAGTCACAAATTAGAGGAACATATGGAAGCTAAACTAATTGAAATGAAGGGAAATACACAGGAAACCAATAATAATGGAAAGGAAACTAGGACTCAAATCAAAGGAGTGGACCAGAAGGAGGAAAAAAATGACCAAACAGAAAAGGATGAAGAGACAAGAATTCAAAAAAATGAGGAGAGGCTTAGGAACCTTCAGGACATCTTTAAACGCTCCAACGTCCGAATTATAGGGGTAGCAGAAGGGGAGGAGGAACAGCCACAAGTGGAAAACTTATTTGAACAAATAATAAAGGAGAATTTCCCCAATCTGGCAAAGGAAATAGACTTCCAGAAAATCCAGGAAGCTCAGAGAGTCCCAAAGAAGTCGGACCCAAGAAGGAACACACCAAGGCACATGATAATTACATTAGCCAAGATTAAAATGAAGGACAGAATCCTAGAAGCAGCAAGAGATAAGGGACAGTCACCTACAAAGGAGTTCCCATCAGACTGTCAGTGGATTTCTTAAGAGACCTAACAGGCAAGAAGGGTCTGGGAAGAAGTATTCCAAGTCATGAAATCCAGAGGCCTACATCCAAGATTGATCTATCCAGCAAAGCTTTCATTTAGAATGGAAGGGCAGATAAAGTGCTTCTCAGATAAGATCAAATTCAAGGAGTTCATCATCCCCAAGCCCTTATTATATGAAATGTTAAAGGGACTTACCTAAGAAAAAGAAGATAAAAAAGATGAACAATGAAAGGACAGCAAACTCACAGTTATTAAGAACCACACCTAAAACAAAAGCAAACTAAGAGGACAGCTAGATCAGGAGCAGACCATAGAAATGAAGCTCCCACGGAGGGTTAGCAACAGGGGAGTGGGAGAAGGAGAAGGGGGGAGAAGGTACAGAGAATAAGTAGCATAGACGGTAGGTAGAAAATAGATAGGGGGGAGGGCAAGAATAGTAGGGGAAATATAGAATCTAAAGAACTTGAGACACGTGGTCATAAACTAAAGGGGGGAATGGTGGGGGAGGGGGTGTGCAGGGTGGAGGGGAATGAAGGGGGAAATAGAACAAATGTAATGGCATAATTAATAAAATATATTTTAAAAAGGAATGCCTTTCAAAGAGCCAAAAAAAAGAATGAAATATTAAAATTCCTTAACAATTTTGAGTAGTAATTCCCTAATTTTTATAAAAATCCACATGTCTTTAGAGCCTGTCAAATATGTGTAAGTCTAATACATGAACAAATATGCCTTCTTTAATAAATAAAGTCTCCTAATTTGCCTGGAAAAAAGTACAATGCCATGCAATTAAATCACATTTTGTGTTGCTTTCATAAAGGGCTGTATTTTTATAAAATTTAGTATAATTAATGAGGTTTCCTGAGTTTTTATATCTGACTTTTATTTTTACTTGCAGTCTTAAAGGTAAGCTAAAATTTTAAATAGGTTTTGCTCAAACTCTCCTCTCCCTCACTCATCTTTTCTGTGCCTTTACATTCCTCACTTTGCTCTTCCCATTTGTCTAGTTACTAATGATAATATCCTTTTATGATAATATCTTTCTCCAATTACCTTGACATATTTCTAAAATATACCTGTAGTTTTCTGTCTTTTCCTCCTTTTATTAGTTTGAAAAAATTTTTTGCATTTTTTCCTCTTGCTACCACTATACAATTAATTAATCAGTAGGTAATCATAATTAGAGTTAGTATTGGCAAACATCTTCTGTGGATCACTACACGAGAAGATTTTACTATTTTCAGACAAATCATGTAGAACGGTACTCACCCACAGTCCCTTCTGTGCTATCTGTGTCCTTTGGGATGTAATGTGCAGAAAGATCACTCTGCAGGACTTCGTCTGATGTGGCTCTGGCTAAAGCAGCAGCCAAAAAGGAAGGGCAATTACTGCAAGAGAAAAATAAAAGGCTAGTTCAGTCAGAGTTAAGAAATAATACATTCAACATTATTAATTACTTATTAATTCATTACCTCAAAACAAAATTATACCTTTAAACGATATTCAACACATTTACTGAGTGCACGTTATGAGCCAGGCACTCTGCCTGTGCACTGAGTGTATGTACTGGTGAACAACGCAGAAACAGCCCCTGACCTAGTCGAGTGTGCAGTCTAAACAGAGACATATGATAAGTAAACAAATATGATTTAGAATTAGGATAAGTTTTATAACGGAAACACACAGGATATGATGAAAGAGAATAAGAGAGGGAGTACCTACTTAAAATGGTCAGGAATGCCCTAACTTTAAGGAGGAGCAGGCCTCAGTTATGTGGAGGTGGGAATTTTGGAGAGAATACTCCAGGCAGAGAAAACAGCATGTGTACAGACCCTTTCTGGGAGTTTGGTGTGTTTAAGGAACTGAAAGAAGCCCCAAGAAAATGAAGTACAGTGCGTGAGGGGGAAAATGGCAGAGACCATGGTCAGAGGAACAGGCAAAGATTAGTTACATGTACCTTTTAGACCACAGTAACGAATTTGGATTTTACACAAAGTGCAATGGGAAGTCACCGGAGATTGTGAGCAAGAGAATTACATTCATTCAACTAGTACTTAAAATATTAAATATTATTAAGGTTATATTAATTAAGATATTGCCTTGCTCCGGCAAAGGAAACTGGAACGCAGCAGGAATGAAGGAGAGTGGCCAATAAGGAAACTGCTATAATCCAGGTGAGATGTAAAAAAATGAGTGGATATTGGAGAAAGAAAATGTAGAACTTGCTGATCACTGCATGGAGAGGTAAAAGAGAGAAAAGAATTGAGGCTGAGCCCACAGTTTTGATCAGCGCAACTAGGTACATGATGACATCATTCACCTAGATGGAGAAACCAGGGAAAGAGTTAAAGTAGAAAACAAAAGTTCAGCCCTGACTGGTGTGGCTCAGTGGATGGAGTATGGGCTGTGAACCAAAGGGTTGCAGGTTTGATTCCCGGTTGGGGCACATGCCTGGGTTGTGGGCCAGGTCCCTAGTACGGGGCATGCAAGAGGCAGCCACGCACTGGTGTTTCTCTCTCTTTCCCTTCCTCTCTCTCTAAAAATAAATAAATAAATAAAATCTTAAAAAAAAAAAGAAAACAAAAGTTCATTTGAGCATATTAAGTTGGAAACATCTACAATGTCCCAGTGAAGGTGTCAAATGGTTACTTATGTATTCTAGCGTAGAGCTCCGAGATGTTAGGAAATTTGGGAGTCATGCATGGATGGATGGTATTTAAAACTACAAAATGAGACTTGCTATGGACCAGTGACTTTTCTGTGCCTCTGTTTTCACCCTTTTGAAATAGGAAGGTTATCTTATGCCTCACCATTTTATGTTGGATAGTGGTGGGGGACAGGGTAATCTGCCTCTTTTGTCCCCAAGTTTTCAAATCAAGTGGAACTATATTCAAGGAGCTAACATCAAGAAATTATACCCAAGGAATCTCACCTGCACCTGGACCTGACCTAGGTGAGATGAACTAAGGCTATCATACCAGTCAGTAGCTATTCTCAACTGCCTGATGTGAAATGGCACAGACCTTCAGATGATACCAGTCTTCAGCCTGAATTCTCCAGAGGAGGCCCCAGACAGCATAGAACAGAGCTGAGTTACCCCTGCTTTGTCCATTGTGAATTCTTGGCCCAAAGAAACTGTGAGCATAAGAAATGATTGTTTTATGCCACTAAATTTTGTGCTGTTTTGTTACCCAGCAACAGTAACTGAAAACCCAACAATTAAAAGCTTGGTAGAATATGAGGAACCTATAAATACTGAAAAGAAATATTAAGTAAAAGGAGAACCGAGAGAGTATGTAAAGGAGGGAATGGTCAACTATGTCCCTACTGCTGAGAGGTCAAATAAGATAAGGGGAAAATGGATATTGAATTTAATAAAATATAAATCATCATGCACTGGGTACTAAGACAATTCACTGGAGGAAAGAACAGTCTTTTCAACAAGTGGTGCTGGCGCAGCTGAATATCCACAGTAAAATAATCAACTTAGACGCTTTCTTTACATCATATAAACAAATTTATTTAAAATAGATCATAGTCCTAAAGGTAAGAGCTAAAACTATAAAAATCTCAAAAGAAGACATAGGAGTAAAACCTCATGACCTCAAATTAGGCAATGGTTTTCTTAAACATGACACCAAAAAACAAAATAAAAATTAAAAAGGACCACAAATCAAGAAAATGAAGCAATAACTCAAAATGGTAGAAAATATTTGCAAACCATATCTGATGAGAGACTAGTATCTCATCAGATAGTCTAGAGGGACTAGAATATGTAAAGAACTCTTATAATTCAATTATAGAAAGACAACCCAGTTTATAAATGGGCAAAGAATATTAATAGCTGTTTTTTTTAAAGAAGATACATAAACGGTCAACAAGCACAAATGATACCCAACATCGCTAATCAAAACCACAATAAGATACCATTTCACATCAAGTAGGATGACTATGATAAAAATAGAAAGAGAGAGATAAATAACAAGTGTTGATGACTATGTAGAAAAATGGTATAGAGTAAACTCATACATTTCTGGTAGGAATGTGAAATGGTGCAGTGGTTTTGGCAGTTCCTTAAAATGTTAAAAACAGAACTACTACATGGCTCAGCAATTCCACTCATAGGTATGTATCCAAGAGAAGTAAAAACATACTTCCACATAAAATGGGTCCATGAATGTTCATAGCGGCATTATTCATAATAGCCAAAAAGTAGAAACAACCAAATGTCCATCAACTGTTTAGAGATAAATAAAAGGCAGTATATTCATGCAACAGAATATTACTCAGCCATCAAAAAAATGAAGTACTGATACATTCTACAGTGTGGATAAACCTTGAAAACACATGGTAAGTGACAGAAACCAGTCACAAAAGACAACATATTGAATGATTCCACTTATATGAAAAGTCCAGAGTAGGCAAATCTATAAAAATAGAAAGTAGGGTAATGGGGTAGCCTGGGGCTGAGGGCTAAGGTGAATAGGGAAAAACTGCTAAGTGGTAGGGAGTTTCTTCTTGAGGTGATAAACATGTTGTACATCTTAGATTGTAGTGATGATTAAACAATTCTGAAAATGCTAAACCCACTGAATTGTACATGTATGCTTTAAATGTGTAATGCTCATGGTATGTAAGTCATATTTCAAAAACGATATTTAAAAAAGTCACTGACTCTGTCAACAACCACTGAATAGTGGAGGTTAAAATCAGATTAGAGCTTTTCTCTTCTTTGCTCTCTTTCTTTCTCTCTTCCTTTTTCTTCCTTTTTCCCCCTCTTTTTCCCCTCCGTCCCCATCCCCTTCCCTTCCTCTCCCCTCCCCCTTTCCATGTGTGCGAGCCTCTTCCTTCCCCTCCTCCCCCTTTCCGCCTCTCTCCCTCTCTCTCTCCATCTCCTTCTCCCTCTCAGCTCGCCGGGCGACCCTGCTTCTGCCTCCCACATTAATGGCGGCATCTTCGGAGGATGATATAGACCAGCGGCCCATCAGAAGAGTCCGCTCCAAGAGCGACATGCCGTACCTCGCAGAGGCCAGGATTTCCTTTAACCTCGGAGCAGCCTTACGGCCCAGAGCATATTAAACATTGGAATTAATAGACACAATCAAAAGGTGCTAAACTGGAATAAGAATGTTACTAAAGAATGAAACCCCATCTCATTCCACCCCCAAGTCTGGGGATTTTTATCATACATGAGAGAAGGAATAGAAAGAATTCATAAGGCTTGGTTACTGTGACCAGAAAATGAAGAAGGAGTGATTGTCGATAGCACAGAGGATTCAAGTTTAGGCGAGAAGGAGGACTGTACACCCTGGCAAGGAGCAAGAATATGCCCAAGGAGACGAGGAGAATGGTTTGGGGCCAGACTGTGGAATTTCGGAATAAGACAACATATTGCAAATCATTCTGATCCATGCCCCTCCTCCCGCAGCACACCTGCAGTAGCAGACCAGCAGAATTAAGGCTTCCTCAAGGACTCTCTGTAATGTTCTGAAATATGATTTCTACTGTAAAAGGACAATCTGTTTCTTTTCTCGATTCAACTTCACCTCTCAATAAAACTTTCTGGCAGCCTGGGAAGTGAAATCCAATAAAGGATGTGCCCTTACTTTGGGGAAAAAAAAATCAGATTAGAATGGGTTAGTAAGTAGAAGGCATGAGGCATGGCAGCAGCTGAGAGGGCTATGGGGACAGGGTAAGTCTGTTGCTCTGACTGCAAAGTTCTTGAGAAGCCAAGGAGAAATGTAATCCAATCCATACGCGTAAACACTGACCTTTGTTAGAATGAGGCACATTTCCTCAGTTGGAAAAGGAAGAAAATGGGTGTACAAATGCAAGTACTGTTCCAGTTTCCTGGGAGGAAAATAAGGGAGTTCCCATCTAATGGTTTAACTTAACAAAAACTTACTGAGGCTTACCATGTTTCAGGTACTGTTCTAGTCCACGGGATATATACGCCCCCAAACCCCTGCCTTCAGAGATTACATTCTAGGCCATGGCTCCCCAATGAACTATAGACCAGCAGCTCTCAAACTTTTGCATGCATCAGACTCACCTGCAGACTTGTTAAAATGGGTTGCTGGGACCCAACCCTAGGATTTCTGACTCAGTAGGCCTAGAATTCTCATTTCTCACAAGTTCCCACGTAATGTTTGTGTAGCTGGTCTGGAGACCACACTTGGAGAACCACTGGGTTATGTCATCAACTGGGTGGTGAGGATGGAAAGCCATGGGGGAGAAGGGATGAAGAGGAAGTAGATATACAGTACGCCTGTCAAACACTGCCAAGAGATTATTGGAAGTTTGAGACAATTTTTTTATAAAACCACTCTTTCCTTCAGGTTGTATGGTTTTCTCCATCTGTGTTCACGTGCTGGAACATGTGTAGGTA